AGTTGCCCTTAATGTTGTTAGAGTTGAAGTCCAGATTGCATAACTAAATTTTGTGTAGCAGTGACAGATTCTGATTTTAAATTTCTTCTGCAAAATCTGAAATCATGCTGAGAAATGAAAGCCAAGAATAAAATGACCGTAGCTGGATATGGACTGAAAAACAAAATGCAATTGAGCATGTAAAAGCTGGCATTAATGTTTTTAAGAGTCACTTGTTTGGACAATCCTTGAAAAAACTTCAGATGAGAATACATAGGTACTTGATATTTTTGTGGTCAAAATTAACTGAAGTTTATTCTTTAACAGTCCATTCATGTTGAGAAATATCTTTATAAACACAGGTTAGTCTGCTTGGGGGCTGCTGGAAAGAGAAACTTTATTACATCTCTCTTTCATTTGTAAAACTTAACTTTTTTTTAAAATAGAACTTTATTTTTTAAAATTATTTTCCACAGGACTTGGAAATCTATTTCAGTGTTTGACTTTTGAGGCATTTTACAATTTTTGTTAAGGTTAATTTTATTCCTAATGAGTCTCTTAGTCAAAAAACAAACAGACACGATTTCCCTAGTATTACAAATTATTTGATTTAAAATGTATAGTAGCTACCATAAAAATATGTACCATAAAATATAACTATTTTTATGTGTCTTAAGCTGGATTTATTTCTCTAAGAGAACAAGTCACTTTACAAAACTAGCAAGGGTGCTTAAAGAGCAATTTTTGAGCTCTGCTTTATTTTTAACTTTTAATGTGGAATTAAGGGCTGCGAAGTAAGGAGATTTATCAATTGTCATTCAGAAGTCTTACTGACATACAAACATAATAAAGGCTAGGGATTTCCCTAGTGGGTCTCCATCATGGTATGTTGGGGCCTACACAGGTGGATATTCTGCCAAGTTGTCATTCTGCCACAAATCAGAATGAATTCTACTGCCCCCATGAAGACAGCCCCTCTGACTTCAAAAAAACATGAAATCTTCCCTTTCTTTGGGGTAATAAGCCATGTACTCACTACTTCTGTCAACCAAATAAAAACAGAATTGATGCCACTTGAACAGGTTCAATTCCAGCAGTTCAGCATCAAATCTATAATAAAGTGTGGAATTGATAACCTGGAAAATGAAATTAAATTATTGGACCAACCATTGAAAGATGAGCTTTCATGGTCTGGAATTTTATAGGTCTTTCCTTTCTATATCATGCACAGGATATATATGAGTGTTCTTGCTTACTGCACATGACAAAATTACAGAACAAAATATCTTTCTATATCACGTGCTCTTAATAAAATATTTGCTTCATTTATTGTCTGTCTTGCAGCAATTGCACTCCCTCTTGTTTTTCTTTTTCTTTTTATCTGGGCAGAAGCAAAACAAACACTAGTTTTTCTTCCTGCTGCTGAACACTTTTATAAAAGGTAATGCTATAAAATTTTTATATAATGTGGGTATATTTCTCAAACAATGTTAGGAAAGATTGAAATCTCAGAAATGTTGTGTTGGTAGCACTTGAAGAAAAAAAATAACATGAACCGGTATGTGTAGTAAAATGGTTCATTCATTATACAAATTTGGGTTTTAATTGACAGAGTGCGTTCAGTAATTCTAGGAGATTTCTTTATTTTTTCCTTCATACAGAGCCAGATGTTACCTTATTTTGTATCCTGATAGAGCATAAGCAGACGGCAATGTCACAGCTGGTTTCTATCTGATACAGAAGTTTTAGAAATTCATATTTTTTTTTCTTATGGAAAAAGAGAAAGAGTAAATGGTACCTTGATTTTTAAGGCAATTTTTTAGACTAATTTTTATCTAAAGTATTTTTTGTACAAAAATACATTCTAATAAAATATAATGATGTACACATAGTCGGGGGAGATGCTTTTATAAGAAATTTGACTTTGTGCTACTATATTTTATGAGAAACAGGCTAATGGCTTTCTAGAAGGGTATGACTCCACTTGTGAATTCACAGGTCTATGATATTTAATGATATAATTATTTTTATGTCCTTATAAAAACAAGTAAACTGAAGCACCAACTAAACAACTGAACATATGTAAAAACTGCATTACTTCGGAGCATTACCCTGTACTCATAAGCACTTATTGGACTCCTCCGCTCATCTAATTATCTTGAATATTATTCCAAAAAAAATAAAGATTCAGATTTTTTCCCCACTGTGATCAATATTTACCTTGGAAACCTTGTATACACTGGGATATTTCACTTAATATTTATTCACATTCTAGTAATTTCTGTTCCAAAAATACCTTCTTTCTTTTCGTTCTCCTGTGCAAATAAGCATTCCATTACCAAGTTATTTCCTAGCAGACCTATATTCAGAATTTCGTGGGATGCAGGTCTCAAAGGATATCCTGATTTTTAGCTCTGATTATAAGGCCTAACAGTAGTTATGGACTAGCAAAATTTTCTTTCTCATAAAAACATTAATCAATATTTCAAGGTCAAATGACCTACTTCAACCTGAGGAAAAGGTGATATTTGATTCCATGATATTCAGAATATGAGTGGAAATGATTAAGCTATATTAGGGTGCATGTGTGTGAGCTATGCCAAATGCTGCTCATATGTTAACAATGTACATAAATGGACATGTTCAAAAGAATTTAGAAGATTGAAGTCATAGCCAGGTATAAAAGGATAGCAAAAAATTGGCAAATCTTCTTTTTAAGGAATCCTTGATGTATCCCCAAAACAAACCATATACCATTAGTAGGAAATATATAGAATAAATATAATATAATATAATATAATATAATATAATATGATATAATATAATATAATATAATAATATAATATGTGTATATATGTATACATATGCATATATATACACAATTAAGTTATCATTAGGCTACCTTAATTTGGTTACTTGTAAATAGCACATTTTGGGTGCATAAGCATTACAGAATATTATCACTGGGTTGCTTTTGGATAGAATAAAAAGAGCCATTGACATAGAATTATGTTTTACTATAAGGATGCACCAGATGTATAAAAGTCAAAACACAGTGTGTGATTGTCTCTATGGTTCAGTACAGCTACTGTACTGAGGGGGCCAAAAGCCAAGTACATTATGCAGAGCAAATACAGACACTGCAACTCATAAACATCTAGCATTTTAGTGTCCTTTACATCATGCCTTTATAGCACCCTACCCTTCAACCCCAAAATCTGATATGATAACCTTTTGTCAATAGCATTTCTAAATTTACTATGAAAGTCATTTGGCTTAACCAGTCGTTTATCCATGTGTGTGTGTGCGTGCACACCTATGTGTGTGTACACATATATTCTAAAATATATTCATTAAGGCAACTATAATCTCCCATGGAATTGAACTGTATACTTTATTTTCTTACTTAAATGTTTAGTTCAAGTTCACCTTTCCTTCTATTCAGTAGAATTTCTCTAACTGTTCAGCCGCCCCTCCTAGTCAAGGGGAATTGTATGCCGGATCTAACTCAGGATGAAAGAAAGTTTAGAGTCAGCAGAGACAGAGATCTATTAAGCACAAACCAAGTAGAGAAGGAAGGATTTTCCTCCCTTGATTTATACAACTCTTTTTGTACTAGCATATGCCTGATATTCCTCAGTGGGCTGTTTGTTTGTTTGCTTGTTGTTTGCTTTCTGATGTACAGCTTGAGAATATACGAAGACATCTGATACTGAAAAGCTTGACAAATCACAGCCAATATGTATTTTCCATTTTTTTTCTGATCTTCTCCACACGTAGTAAAAACAAATGTGAATCATTTTCCTGCCACAGAAAGTAGGGAATGTAGGGAAGAAGGGAAGAAAAAGCCGCTAGAGAATTGGTGATCAAAAGATAGAGGCGAGATCCTTGTGTGATCTCATTCATTTGCTATGGAATCCTAGTTCTGTGACCTACTGTGTTAGTCATGATTGGTTTTTCAGTTGGAGATTACAAAACCCTGGTGTGAGGTCCATCCTGCTGAGTTAAGTGTGAGTATCAAACAGCTCACCAAACAACTCATCCATTAGGAGCTGAGGTTTGCTCTGCCTCAGCCAACCCTTGTTTCACCTATGGGTTTCATTTTCCTCTCCAAAAAGACAGAAGTCATCATACACATATTATATTAAAATATTAGGAGAATGCCATGGTGCCAATAACCCACAAGTTATTTTTTTCACTTGGAACATGATGTATGTTTTCAAGTACCTTTAGTGCATTACCACTATAGTAGCATTGCTACCTCTTGGTATGCATCCATCTGTTCACAAAAATTATTTACTTACACTTCTTTAAACTCCAAAATCTGCACTCAGAAAAAGAGAGTCAGCTTTTCCAAAAGGATGAAAGAAAACATGAATTGAGAAGGTTTCTATAATAACAGTAACCTGATATTTTGATACTCTATGGTCACAATTTATAGTCTTTCATATAACAGTAAAATTAGAGCCTTCTCCCAATAACGAACTGGTATTTTTAATCATATGTTATATAAATCATGAGCGATCAAGGGCAGGAACCAGGTCTTCTCAACTGTGTATGTACACTAAAATCAGAGTTTAACACATTGTAGGTCCTTAATAGTTATTGTTGAATAGAATTAAATTTGCTGAGGTTCAGCACCAAAAATGATTTTTCAACTTGGGTGGTTTAGAATATCTTGGCATTCAAGGATCATACTTCGTCTAGCCAGCAGAATTATATGAGACAGTGAATAAATTATACTGAGAGTTTCTTTTAAGTTGAATTAAATTTACTTCACAAAATCACTGTTTTTAATCTGACCATTCTACAAAGGGTGACCCTAATGAGAGGGGAAAATACATCACAGCATCTTTGAATATATAGATCCAAACCTCAAGACAACTAATGAAACAAGACCCCATAGAGATTGATGCTGTGATTGAAAAATACTGTAATATTTTCTGTGTCAGAAAGTAGAAAATCAAATTACCTTTAAGTTTCTCACATTTGAGCCACACTACAAATGAATTGTGTCCAGGTACAGAAAAACCAACAATATTTTATTTATCATCTTATTTTTAGCTTTTGAACTACAAATTCAGGTTCTAGAGTTGTTTAAAAGATCATGGGTTTTATAGATTTATGTAAATTAATCTGTTGTTTGCTTACTTTTTTTTTTCCTTTGCCATTGAATGGTCCTCATCATAAATACAGAACAGGTCATTACATGAAAAATATAAGATCTTGCATTATTTTCCTTGCTCTCTCTTAAAAATCTATTTCTAATATTGCATTCCCCATTGGACTAGTTTATAAGGGCAAGAGGGGGAAAATAAAAGAAACGAGGAAAAAAAAGAAAGACAAAATAGACTGGATCTCACCACTAGAATTCACCATAAAAATCTCAAAGTGTAACAGAATTCTTATAAAATTTCCTAGACCAGTTTCTTAGGGAATTGAGATCTCCTATGAAAAATATGGCAATTGGGGAAGGCAGGGACGAGATGTGGGGAAATAGTAAATAAGTGCAGCAAAAACAGGTTCTGAGGAATACACATCATTTTGTCTGCTTTAGATCACAATAGAATTTTTAATAAATAAATTTCTTTTCTTTTTTGATTTTTTTTGTAAAGACACTTTTTTGAAACAGTAGATTTAGCCCAGTCACTTGTGTCATTTTTAATAAACTGTCTTTTTTTATTGTTTTCTGTAACTCTGTAAATGTTTTAGATTTGAGTCTCTTGTACATTGTCTTTAGAGTTCATTCGGATCAATAACGGTTCATGCACTGAACTGTGTATTGAATTTATCGTGTTAACTGTTGTTGTGTGGTTGAAGGGAGATTTGTAAGAGTTATAGTGATTTAGGTGCTCATGCTCGATAGCAGGCATGGGCAGGTGGCTTTCCATGGGTGTGTCTCCCGTAATCTCATCATCCACATTAATGATTTCAACAGTCCTTGTTGGGGCGTGGTGGTTTTGCCTATGGTGCTGCTTCCTCATCTTGTAGAAAATGACCAGCATCACTGCAGCCATGAGTGTGATGGCCACAAAACAGCCAATGATGATTTTGGTAGTCTTCATGACCTCATCAATTCCTGGGATCCCACTGTTCATATCAGTCACTGGGATGGTGAATGTTTTTTCTGTTGACCTTGTGCTCTGTGGCGTGAGAGAGGTGGTCACGTTGGTGGTTTCCCAGTCAATCACTGGAGTGGGACCCACGTTGTTATCTGTGGTCCGTGCCTCATCCTGAGAAGGTTCCATAGTCTCTACTGTGACGGTTGAAAAGTAAGTAAAAGGAGTGGTGGTTGCTGCAGTAACATTCAGGGTGGCAGAAGCGGTGGTATTTCCAACAGAATTACTCACCATACATGTGTACATGCCTGTATCTTGCACGGTCACATTTGTGAAATTTAACGTGCCATCGCTGAGCACCGCTATCCTCACTTTGTATGCCCCATGTGTCATGACTGTTCCATTGGGAGTAATCCAAGATACAGAGGTCAGGGATGTGGAGGCCCGACATTTCAGCTCAGCAGCCATGCCCTCAGTGACATTGAGGTCTGCTGGGGGCTCCACAATCACAGGAGCATAGCATGTGAAATAGTTCTGGTCAAGCTCCCCAATGTACCTCCCTTTCAGATTGGGAGGAGTGTTACATCGGGCACAACAAGCTGTGTTGGAGGGGGCCATGTCTTTTATCCACCAGCTGAGCCACAGTATGTCACAGTTACAGTTCCACGGGTTGTGATGTAGGTGTATCCGCTCTAAATGATGCAAGGGTGTGAAGAGATCATGAGGCAGTAATGTGAGATTGTTGTGTGCCAGGTTGATCTCCACTAGCGACTGGAGGTTATCAAAGGCATTCCTTTCAATCACTTGAATCTGGGACTGTATCATCCACAGTTTTTGAAGGTGCATCAACCCCTGGAAAGAGCCAGGCCTGATGGCAGACAAATGATTCCCAGAAAGATCCAGCTCATCTAGTTTTATGAGTGGTGTGAGGTTAGGGATTTCCCGGAGGTTGCACATGGCAAGGTTCAAATACCTCAAGTTGGACAGACCTTCAAAGGCACCTTCTGAGATGTATGAAAGCCTTTTCAGTTCCCCTAAGTCTAGCCGGCGCAAAGAAGGGATTCTGTTAAAAGCATAAGAAGGGATGCTTTCAATGGGGTTGTTTCGCAACCAGAGCTCCTTCAGTTTAGACAAATATACAAAAGCTCCATTCGGGATGGTAGTAAGACGATTGTCAAAGAGTTCCAGAGTGTTGAGGTTCGCAAGACCATTGAAGGCCCCGATTTCAATTGTTCTAATATGATTCCGACTCAACTGGAGGATTTCCAGGTGCCTCAAGTGCTTGAAGCTGTTCACTTTGATGATCTGGATTTGGTTCTCATGAAGGTTCAGCAACCGAGTGTTGGTGGAAATGCCATCAGGAACTTCGCGTAGGTTTTTCCGAACACAAATCACCTTGCTGAACTGGTTGCTGCAGGAGCAGACGGAAGGGCAGGTTTGAGCCCGCACCAGACCAGCCACCACAAGAAGTTGAAGAGCCAGGAGCACCACAAGCAGGGGGTCAAATAGGGCCCTGTTAAACCTAGGACCTATCATTATCTGCTGTGGATGTAAGGTCATCTTGTTCAACATTCATAATTTATCTGGTGTTGGTCCTTCTGGAGTTCAAATAGTCTGCAATACAATAAGAGCAAAAAAGAGTATTAGGTCTCTTCCAAAATGTCTTTCTGGGACAGTGTGACATAGTACATCTCAGCTAAAGCCGTCATTTCCCAGACTAGGAAAACAACAAATCTAGTGTCCATTATAGAGTGACAAGTCTAATATTTTTAGAAAAATGATACTGCACTTCAAATTAGCAGCCATCCACAGCCCATATTCCATCAGATGTGCAATCACAGAGAAATGGAAGAATGAGGTGGGGGGTCGTAATAGAGTGATAACTGACCAGTGTGTCCTAGACGCATGAGGACATATGAGATGTACTTCACCATGAGATTCATCGTCCTGAACCGATTTGAAAAGTTCAGAACATAGAATTTGGGGGCCCTACCCAACAAACAAAAAGTCTCCTTGCAAAATTAGTAATAGCTGATGTTTTATCTGGACTCACTCTATGTGCCAGGCACCAGGAGCTATTGACTTCGCAAACAACCCTATGTAGCAATGGCTACATAATTTATGGGCCTCTGTGCAAAATGACAACGTGAGATGCCTTGTTAAAAATTATTAAGAATTTCAAATCAGTAACAACAGAGCATTAAGCCAAGTGTGGACCCTTCTGAAAATGGGGCCCCATGCAATCACAATCCTTTCTAATCCTGCATTTCTCTGATGTAGGAACTGTTATATTCCCGCGATGAAGAAATTTATCATAGGAGCACTATGCATGAATTCACATGGTTCATAACTACAGAGCCTGGGCTCAGATGTTCATCTGATTGGTCCAGGAGCATATGATCTCAAATACTCCATCAAAAGGTTGCTGTGAGAATGAAGGCCATATACAGGGCCCAGCATAGATAATGCTCCTTTTTATTATAAGATATTTTATTACAAAATTATAAGCATGTAATTCTGTAACATAACAATATCATACTCAAGCACACCATATAACATTTTAAGTTAAATGTTCAAATTAATACAATATATTATTATACTCATATTATTACCCTACCAACCACACTCAAGCAGGTGTTACTTCTGCCGGACCCTGTATATATGATATATATCTCTTATAATTAAAATTTTAAAAATATCTTTCCTTTGGGGTGACAGCTATAAACACTGGCAACTTAAATTATACTACCTATGAAAATACACTGAAATAATGACATACACAAATGTACATAAATTTCTAGAGATTGTCATATACCAAAACTCATAATATAGTGGACAGCTACCTATAGGCAGACATACCACAAATTAAATCACTTGCCATAAAGCATGATGTTATTTTATAGAAAGGATTTTAGTATAACAGGACTATAATATGCCTTGTGTGCCTACTCTTACTGATTTTAAGTAGATTTTAAGACAGATAAAATAACTCACTTTCTGCATCTCTTCCAGTGCAAGGAGGCACTCCAAAGGAACTTGTGTTGCCCAGTACATGCCCCACCCTACTGGCTTACCATGGATTGGGCTCCTGTGTAATGACTTCTCCCAAATCTCTCATCTCAATAAACAGTGACTCTTCTATGAATCTCTTGGAAAGAAAAAAAGGAGGGGAGGAAGGGGTGGAGTAGCTGACCACATTCCAATTCAGAAGTACTTACTATGTGTTGCCTTGGGGAAGTTAACTTATCATCTCCGTGGTTCAATCTCCCCCCTTGCAAAACGGAAATGATAATATTAAATTCCCCTTAGTGTTGTGGTGAGAACAAAATTAGTTCATGTACATGAAGGGCTTAGAATAATGCTTCCCACATTGTAAGAACTCAATAAATGTTAGACATTATTGTTATTATTATTTCTGTTTTTGCTGTTGTCCTTGGCCAGACATTTCACTAAGTACTGGGCACACCAAATAAAAGAACATAAACCTTACCCCCAAACGAATTACAATTCAAAAGATGAAATATAGACAAGCAGATGAACTGCAATATTGAACATATGATGTGGGTTTTTGAGACCAGGCTACACTGACACAAGGGCACTGAGGTCAGAGCAACTCAATCCATGCTGGTGAATTAGGAATTTTCAAAGAGAAAGGCTATTTGATTTCTGTTTTGTGGAAGGAGTTGGTCAAGAATGAAGAGAAGGGCATTTCAGAGAGACCAGTCTAAGTGAAGACAAGGACACAGTACCTCCAGGGAACAGTGGAAAGTTCCCTGTGGCAGTGGAGCAGAAAAACCCAGGGAAGAGAATAGAGAATGGGAAGGGAGCTGGGGTGATTTCAGGTCTGACTGTCAAGAGTTATTATGTCAGACTTAGGAATCACTGATTTATACCACAGGTGACACGTTCTGCTTTTAGAATGGAATGCTATCATGAGCTTTGTTTTTAAGAATGGTGATGTTGAACTAATACAGGAGAGGAAAAGCTCCAGAAGAAACTGGTAGCAAGGAGAACAATGAAAATGATCTTCCTATTGTTCCAAGTGAGCCTTAGAGAGAAGTCAATGCCAGAAATAGGTCCGGCTTCTTGACCATCACTTCCATGCCTACCGCCTGAGGGCTTGAGGAGAGAAGGGCTGACTCTTTTTTAGGACATACTTCTGCTGGTGGTGAGGTTCTCAAGGTAAATTAGCATTTCTAAAGAATTGCATTTTCACAGAGTACACAAGATGGAGAAGAGGCTTTCTTGTCTCAAAATAGAAGACACCTTACTCATAAAAGGCAGCTGTCGTTAGCAATCATTAAACATACATTCACATTCACAGAGCTACCAAAAGGGAAAAGAGTCTCAAGAAAGTGAAGTGTAAAGTCATAGAATTTTCTGGATTCAGAGGCTTGTTTATGTCTCCTTTACTATGGAAGCAAAGAAAGTTGGCGGGTAGGTTCTGAGTTAGTATTTCTTTTCTCACCAGGTAGATAGACTTGCTTCCATGCTCAGGGCTATTGTGGCTCTAGGTTGACTTTTCAAACCATCCAGTACTATAGGCATTCATTCCTGGATGTGTTTCCTGCCCTTGCCTGTGAACTCTGTGAGTGCACAGGCCATGTCTGATGGTGTCTTCTTAGCCTGTTGCCAACACAGCCTTTGACTTGCTATAGACACTAAATAAACTGGCTGTTGAAAATGTGCAAAAGTTAATATCTAATGACAACTCTTTGCACATGTGCAAGTGATACGTACCAATGTATCATTCATGCCCCCAAACCATCCAATCTGAAATCCCATACCTCAACCATGTCCTTTACTGGGTTCTCATAGGTCCCTTACACTCAGGCCAAAAGCCCTCTACCCTAATCATTCTAGGGCTAGATACCAGGCAACTAGAGATAGCTCCCATGTCCCCCACTGAATAATTTCAGTGGCAGCACCCACTGAAATGATTCATATTAGCCAATCCTATCCTAAGCCTGTTTACCTTGCCTTCCCTCAAACCACACAATAAAGGCACTTGCTCACATCCTTCCTTTGCTCTTAACCAACCTTGGCACTTCCGCATGAGGCCCCTGTGTGCCAAGGCATGCCCTCTTCTCCTGGGCACTGTGAGTAAAAATCAAATAAACAGCACCACCAACAAAAACATCTCTATAATGGCAGTCGTCTCCTGATCTGTGGGTCTCACCATACTTGAATAATAATAAAAATCTATATTTTAGAACAACTAATTGCTAAGTATTAGGGACCCACACATCATATTAATCCTTTGATGGCCTTTTAATAATGTAATTGGTAGGTTTCACTCCTTGAGTTTGATCCTTCACTATAAACTTAAACATGACCTTAAAAACTTTTTCAGGTTTACATTAAAAAAAAAAGGAAGAAAGTTATTTAAATTTCCAGTAATCATGACCATCAAACATTTTTCATTTGTGTGACTTGGTGTCCTTTCTCCTCAACACACACTTCTTAATGTAATTGGGAATTTAAAAACAAAAACAAAACCAAGAACAACAGCACATAAAGTCCCTGATACGTTAACTGATTGACATTTTTAGGGGTGGGGTCCCGAGGCCCTTCTTGTCCATTTCTGTGCCTACCTCCTACCCCATGACTCCCCTTAGAATCCTAGGGTCTCTGGCAACATGGATTAAATAACCGATTGATGGGAAACAGCATAGAAGTGAAAAAGATAAGTCCTTACTCTACCATTTGCTACCTTTTTCCTCATTAAAATATGAAGCTGTAAAAACAATTATGTCCAGTGACCAAGAGAGAAGTCTCTGGTGTGAGACTCGCTGATTTCATACACCTGTTTATACCTCGATGACAGTATAATTGAAAAAATTCACCTGTCTATACTTCACCATCCTCGTCTGGGAAAGGGAAACTACAGTGTTATCCACTCAAAAGACTCTCATTAGAGTTGTCACATAATATATGTAATGTTACTGGCTCATAATAAGCAATATTCAGGGTCTAGGACAAATAACACCCCCTTTCTATTACAAAATCTTTTACTACAAAATCATAAGCATGCAATTCTGTAACATAACAATATCGCACTCAAGCACACCATATGAAATTTTAGGTGAAATGTTCAAATTAAAACTATAAATTATTACACCCATATTATTACCTTACCAACCACACTCAAGCAGGCCTTACTTCTGCCAGACCCTGTATAATAAACATTTAATGCATATGAAAAATAAAATGGTGGGGCACTCAGTTTCTTTTTCTTGTATAAGACAGGAGTTATAATATTGCCTATCATTCAAAGTTGTAGGATTAACTGGCATGATTGAGAACATGCTATCAATAAAAAATACGCAAACATGATACATTGCTATTAATTGTAGAGTATATATGTCTGTCCTTTTCAAATCCCAGGCTGTTTTATTTGCTACTTCTTGCTCACTTCAGGATCTTTTTGCTATTGCAATTAATGAGAGTTCCCATAAATCAGTCATAAGTAACAATTTATGAATTATAACTGATTCAAGGCTGATTTATAACCTACAGCAAATAATGCTTGGTACGTGCACTGAATCAAATAAACTACCATCAACAAAAGGTTTTCTACTTTAAAATATAAATTATGTTAGTTTATATCAAAA